CCGTGCTCGTATTTTCCGCCTAAGAATTTCGTACTCGCGCTGTACAAGCAATAACTATCGTCGCTGGGAAATAACACGTCCCCGGCGGTCGTATATCCACGGGGGACCATCAACCTGGGACGAGGTTTATATCTTTTTAACCTTTGCTGGGGATCCGTGGGTCTCTTTACGGTAGTCACTTGCGTTAACGCTGGCCAGAGAGCTGTCGAATACCATTATCTCACTGGGATAGGATGAGGCCTTAGGTGGTGTCTAGATGGAAATAGTAATGGAGCTGGAATCGAATAGCGTTTGTTTATCATAAGTATTCCGACAGTTTATTGTACTATTAATACTCTATAGGGATAGAATCGGATGAGATGCATCAACTATAGCACTTGTTCGTTACAAGTATCGTGGCTACTTATCCATAGTACTTGCGTGGCTCGTCGCCATGGAGACGAGAATATGAATATTTATAAACATTGTACCGGTCTAAATTAGAGGCCCGGACTAAACGGCCTAGCTGATCCGTTCTATGTTAATCTGCAGAAAATTAGATACATCTACAGAAACGTCTACGTTAACGCAAAGTCCCGGCCCATCCGTCGCCAGACGGTTTAATATTGTCCGTTCCTTATTGTCCGCTTAGGAAACCCGCGTAAAACTGGTTTACGGTGCAGTAAAAACTCGCCCGCGTGGAAATTGGTGTAATCTTGTTATTTCGGAGCAGTCGTTGCCGTTGCGGGACCGATCTTCACCTGAGATAAGAGCGAACCGCGCTCCTTGGCGAGCGCTTCCACGGCGATATCACTTGTATTCAAATATTATTTATACACGCGTTCCTTTATGTATACGTGCGAGCGTGAACAATGACTGCGTTGCATTCGTTTGCCCTTATCGATGGAAACGCGTACACACAGTCGTGTGCAGACACGTGCGCATACAGATGCGCTCAAAAGACTCGGCGTCTGTCAGCACACAGCGTATGATTTATATACATGTACGTGTGCGACAGATACTCAATATTATATCTTTTATAGACAGTTAGAGTATTTAAAAAATTTGACCGTAACACAATTTGAACAGATATACTCCGAGGTCTCTCGTTAAATACTTTTGAACACCGCTGTATGTGAACGTCCTCGGATTTTACATAGGCGCAGCAGTATTCCCGTACAAACGTATCGCGTTACGATGGAGCAACGCCCATCGGTTTCGGATAGCAGAGAACGCACGAAATCGCCTAGCTAGCAGCGCAATACGCCAAACTCGTGTACAGACACGCACCGGTCTCCGACCATCGCTGGACGCAACGATTGCCACTTTGACGCCGCTACGGGGATCACATTGTGGGAGTAATAACCTCAACTTTTGGCTTTATCACGCGTCGTCCTTTGAGCGAACGTTTGGTTTAGAGTTGCGATCGCTCACGGCGGCCAGGCGGGGAGCATAAATACCTGATCTTGTTGTAAAGTTGAAACCGTACACCCGGCACTTCGACCATTTTTATTTACTTCTCTGTGTCGGGCTACAGCGATCGAACTCTATCAGCGATTTACGGTTTTAAGAAGATTAGGAGGATCAAAGAGTCACGGAGTTTTGCAACTGTTCTTTCTAGTCGCGGAGGGAGGAATGTCTCAATCGGTCTAGGATTTCTCGATGGGCTCCTTTTTATTCTGTTCTAACCTGCGGAAGGAAACCGGCGCGTTTTCCTTTTTGGTCAACTGGGACGTCGCGAGATCGAGTCCCCCTCGACACCTCAGGCTTAATTAATTTTAAACAAAGTTAAAGTCAGGTGACGTGCAGCCACCAACGCGAGCGAGTGCACTCGAGCGAGCGTTGCTGGTAACGTAATACGGAGTCGGACTACCTGACCGATCTGACAGTAAGCTCGAAACAAAATCGAATCGATGGGGGGAGCATCCGTACACCTGGAACTCGTTCAAAAACGAATATACACTTTTGATCTCGAATCGATTGAAGGGAGGGAGGACAAGTGATTTGTAAATATATTTTGTACGTTTCGAGCGGCCATCCACCACGTCTTAGAACGAATGTAATTAAGCTGATCGCGTTAGGTTTATGTTAGATCATACGTTAGATTTATTCGTTGCGTATTTGAATAGCGTGTTGCCCATCCGCGGTGGTTAGCGCCGCGACAGCGATAAGAAGGCGGATGCGCCTGTCCGGAAAGGAGAACACTCTCCTCGCATTGGTCCATTCGCGGTTTCCATGGACGCGAATCATCGATCTGTTCGCCTTGACGTTTGTTTCCGGGACAGAGCATGCTCCAATGGAACTCTGGTCTATCCTCGTCGTGGCATTTCACGACTCGTACCCGAGACGAGGAACGGAATCCCTCGAGCTTGGAACTTTATTTACTTCGAGTCGAGTATCTTTCATTTACAAAGCGCAAATTGATTTTCCTCGATCGAGTAGCTTTCATTCTATCGGAATAACACCTCTGATGATAGCATTAAAATTTCGATGAATCACATCTATCGTTGCTATTACGTATATTCTTCGTATTCATCGCCTGCATAATTCGTTAGACTTGTGCTAGCAGGCCCACAACGAAATGCTCCGAAATGCAACCGAAATGTGTTAGGGAAGCACTTAGGAAGCAGAGTTAGGAAGCTCCAAGTGTGTGCATTTCCCCGACGCTTTGAGAACTATATCGAGACATGCTCGTTTAGACGTTAGACCCGCGTGAAACAACGTTTGCGATACATGTAACATGTAGTACGTAACTGTAACGCGTTACTGTAACAGGTTACTGTAAAATTGGTATTGTAATATGATACTGTAATACGTTGCTATAAAATGTTACTGTAACACGTAATACGGCGATGTAACGTGTGATACGCAATCAGGCTCAGAAACTTGCACTTAAATTACTCCTCGGGAGTATCTAGCCTGGAACGAGAACTTGGCTCGTTAGCGGCCCTCGAAAACGTTCATGCCCAACTTTCGAATACACCTCTCCTCGCCATTTTCGAGGCCGCTAACAAACCCCATCGACTCGCCGGTTTTCCGTTTTAATTGTCAAAAAAATGATATCCTCGGATCGGGATTTCCGACGAATAGAGAACCATTTTTGGTCAGCAGATGAAATTGATACGTGTGTGTTTATAGAGATAGAAGAGCATGGGGGGAATCGATTCCTCGACGTTTCAGGATAGTAGTAGTTTGGATATCGTACTCGTGTAGTAGAATGTTAGGTAGAGAAGTGGGCAACGTTCCAGTGATGAGTATAACAGAATTTTACAGAAATTTATCGTGCGATCGTGCTTGCAGTTGAGTTTAATTTCTTCATCCAAACAACAACGTCGCCTCGTTGACGATACTGTGGAGGTTGTGCCTGAAGAGCGAGAGAAGAGAAAAGGAAGGGAGCATTTCGTTGTGGACCTGCTGGCGGACTCGTCAGTAAGGCTACCTAGGAGTCCCGTGCCTTAGACGCCGGGATGTTTAGAAGTTATGGACGTCCCTCTAGTGGCGAGAACAGAAGATGCCACCGCAATACTTTCGATCGACACCCTTATCGATTGTATATTCATGTTTCGACGCAGTGCTTTGTTTTTCGCCAGGCAATTCGAGCAATGAAAATTCTTCGTTCCTCCTCAAGATGACCCGTCCTCCTTCGAACGCATTCGGCGATTCTTCCACAGACCTGGCGACTTTGAAACGAAATTTCTAGAAGAGCCCAAATAAAATATCTCCGAGAGAAGTCATGAACGAGATCAGGGCATTGACTGCTCGCTCCTTGGCTACTAAATCGAGGCCTTTCTCGCTGGTACTACAATTCTTGATAATCTACACTCTTTTATAATTCTTTATAATCTAATAAAAAATAAATTTGGTCGCAGTTGTCCAGCCGAAAGGCGTACAGCACGAGCGTGGCGAGACCATGGGAATCGTTTCGATCGATCTACGAACAGTGGACAGAAGTGAAAGGCGAGCCCTGCTGGGTGGAAGTCCTCGTGCCGCGGGATCCTCGGCTGAGGATGCAGAACCGCGTCGCGAAGATGCAACAGGACAACTCGAAGGTCGTGTTCGGAGTGCGATGCAACAGGCAACCGCCGACGATCATTCGAGAAATGGCGGACGACTTTCGCAGGAGGACCATGAGGATGTACTACAGGGACTGAGGTTCCCCTACTCCACGAGCAAACGTTACAAGGGGAAAAAGTCCTATCGAAAACGCAGAGTCACATTCGCTGTCTAACTTTTAGCATGCATTAACACCTTCTGTCTCCAAACAATCATTTTGGGGAAAAAATGCGTGCGAAACTATGGCTGGGAAAAATAGATAAAATTGAGAGTATTGGGTGGTATTGTTTTGGGACAGGAAGGGTTGAAAAGGATAGCGTCGAAATTGTTACATTGAGGTCCGAGCGAAATTTGTATCGGTTGCTCGAATTCACACGTTGAGAATAAAGTCGATAGAAGAGCCAAATATTCTACTCTATCTTTGAGAAATAAACGTAACAAAGCATTTACGTATGTATATATTGCACGAGTTTCTCTTAATATTAATGAATGTACGTAACCTTCGATCGACAAAATCGGCGTTGAACAAGTGGTTAAGCGTCGTGTGTATTCATTATTCTACTCAATGTCTTCTACTCTTTGTCTTCTCATAAAGAAAAGATTAGAAATAAACCTAACAAAGCTCGATATTGCTTATTTGACACATCTACGTATATATTCCACGAGTTTCTCTTAATATTAACGGATACGCATAACCTTCGATCGACAAAATCGGCGTCGAACATCGCGAAGGCGTCTCGAATGTCCCCATCGAGAATTGATTCGTGAATGTTTCAGCGCAACCCTGAACAGGCGATCTCCAATTGTTCGATACATGTTCTGTCATTTCCCATCAAAATGAAAACTCGAGATTGACCCGGCGTGCACGCGTCCCGTTTAAATTACAGTTAAATCTTCAAAATTCTAAGTAACAGTCACCAACACGCAACATCTTTTAGGAATATTAACCAGGGCCATAGCATTGGAAAATGAACGGAATCAGGACTTTGGTTCTCCAAGATCTGCCTCACGTTTTGCCTCCGAAAGGACTTCAGGTAACTCAAATATTCTATTTAAATTCCACTCACCTCCGATGGAATATCTGTGTTATCGGAAACAAGAATCCGATTCTCACGCTATTTCTATTTACGTCAGCTGTCGTCGTCGCATCTGCACACCGCTACGTCCACCCGTCGGTTCTGGAGCTTCTTCGTGTTCTCGTCGAAGGAGGATGCCTGTCGCGGCACGAAGAAATGTCCCGCATCTAAGGACGTCATCTCCACTCCGTTAATCTCTACGAACGAGGTGATAGAAGATGTCTCGAAAACAGCGAACGTGTCCCCGATTTCTCGGATATCTACGCTTCCGTTACCTCCGAAGTTGCAGTACCCGTTCGACCTAAGAACGGCCCCTATGAGCTGTCTGAGTATCCCAAGACCTCTCAAGGAGGATAACCTGATGTCCTTGCTGGACGGGAACCCCGTGCCCAGGACGCTCAAGTGGAAACTCAAAGGCTACAAAACCCTTCGCAATGAGCAAGCCGGTGACTTCGCGTTTGTCCCGGGAGGGGATGCTTACGACCTCGATATCCTGCCTCGAAAAGAGTACAGCGAGACGCTGAAGCCTACAGACTCGCGTCTGGGGTCTCTAGATCGAGCTTTAAGTAGTTCTAAGGCGACAGGTCCGAGCAGTCAGGCTGGAGACACGTTGTCCTTAACAACCAAGGCGATAGAGAACAAACAGTACACTCTTAAAGCTGTGGAAGCGAAGGTTGAGAAAGTCGACGAAGCAAAAATTGAGGAACCTAGTGCTCCGAGCACTGCGAATCTGAGCGTCCCGGCTGCGGTCGAGTCGGTGCCTGGCGAGATGGTCCCAACGATGCCAAAGCTGCTGGCATCGTCCGCGAAGATGGAGATCAAGTATCTTCCCATCGCGAAGACGAACCTCCCGGCGATTCCCATGAAGTGTCAATCGCAACCTTCTGCTCAGTACTCGTCTCGTCCACCTAAGAAAACTCAACAAACCAACAGGCGATCTTCAGATATAGAGATGCAGGACGCAGGCTCAGGAAGGTATAGAGAGCGAGAGATTGTCTCGAGAGAGAGACAAGACTACTCCATGGCTAGGAAGCAGGTAGAAGAAGAAATGCGAGTCGCGGGTGCTAGATTCGATCCCGAAGTCTCGAATCAGGAGATTCCACGGAGTAGTTCTGAATTTTCACCTAGAACGGTGGAAACAAAGTCTGACTCTTCGAAGATCTACGACCTTCAGCAGTCGGAGAATGCAAACGCTCGATTCAATCCTGAACTGACCGAGACTGAGTCTAAAGAAGTCTCCAACCAAAGGAAACAGTTTCTCGACAATTCCGAATTTTCGTCGAAAACGGTGGAAAGAAGACCTGATGCCTCTCAGAGGTATACTTCCCAGCAGTCTGAATACTTTGCGCCTCGAAGTTGGAAGTACGATCGCGTCAACCCTCCTACATCGAATCAATTATCCCATACTGGAAATAAATCGACTCGAGGAACCCTGAGCTCCGTTTACGAGTCGATCACAGGTGTCCCTGCCAAGGAGACCACACCCTTGAAGATAGCCTATCAAAAACAGCAACCCAAGACGTCGCCCTGCGCCGCGACACAAGCTAGATTGCAAGGCGGAAGAAACAGCATGCCTCAGAGGCAGTCGAACTTCGGTTACGACGGGTCATCCATGTCTGGGAGCTCCGGAGGAGGCTCGAGGAAACCTCCAGGTTCTTATCCGCCCTTTACCGCGCGACAAGCGTCGTCGGACAGTTCGTCCCTGTTGAGTCGACAGCCACGCGATACTCAGAAGTCGAGAGGAACGAAAGCCAAGACGTCTGCGTCGAGGATCAGCACGAGTGCGAGGAGGCCTGCTCCGAGGAAGTGCGGTGACGACGAAGGGCGCGAAGGGAAGACTGTGTGCACCAAGCCACGCGACAATAATAAGTGCAGAAGGAGATCTTGCGAGCAGGAAGATAGGCAAAAGTGCAAGAAGGAGTCGAAGAAGACCTGCAAGCGTTACTGCTGCCCCGCGCTCCAGACTCCTGTTGAATGCGACTACGACAATTTCCAGTGTCCCAAGCAACGGAACAAGAACGACTGCGGCAAGAGACGCGAGAAGAGGACTCACGATCCTACGTGTTTGCCCAACGACTCGAAATGCAGCGACCGAAGGGAGGACACTTGTAACAGAAGGAGGAACGACTGTCAGCGGTCCTGTAAGAGGGAGAGGTCGTGTGGCGCGGAGAGGTGAGCAGTAACAAAACACGCGCATTCTTTTATCTAACTCTACTAATATATTTGTTTACCTTTAGGAGAGATCGAAGCTGCAATAGAGACCGGCAGAGCTGCAACAGAGAACGACAGAGTTGCAGTCGCGGCAGAGAGAGGTCCTGCCAGAGACAAGAACGTCGAGACTGCTCCGACAGAGACCAAGGTCGCGTCATCTGCACGAAACCAAGACGAGGGGACTCTTGCAACCAACGAAGGAACGACGACTGCGGCCAGAGGTCCGCTAAATGTACTGGAAGACGGAATTACACCAACTCCGCGTACCTCAAAGACAAGGATTCCGTAAAACGGTTCTCCTCCGTGCCAGCTCTTGGCTTTTCTCTCATCGGCATGAACGTCCAAGGGAACGAATCGAAGGCTACCATAGGCTCTTCGTCCAACTGTAGATTCCTCGGGGTAAAGGAGTTTTCTTCTGGTTGCAAGTACATAGACAAGAAGCCGGACAAGTGCAAGAAAGCTTCGGACAAGTGCAAGACAGCTTCGGACAATTGCAAGACACCCCAGACCAAGTGTAAGCAGCAGGAATCGAGCCAAAGAAAGTGCAAGACGGCTTCGGACAATTGCAAGACACCGCAGACCAAGTGTAAGCAACAGGAATCGAGCCAAAGCAAGTGCAAGACGGCTTCGGACAATTGCAAGACACCCCAGACCAAGTGTAAGCAGCAGGAATCGAGCCAAAGCAAATGCAAGCCGCGCAAGACCGAGGACAAATGCAAACGGGACGAAAACCAGTGCGGGGCACTACGCAAAGCTGCGAACAAGTGCAAATCGACATGCGGCGTGTCGAAACCGGAGAAGCCACCGTCCTGCCAGCAATCCGGGAGCAAATCGAGCAAATCCGACGACTACTGCACCAAGAGGAGGGAACAGATATGCAAAGGTTCGCGATTTAGTTAAAAAAATAAGGATAAAGTACTCCGTGCAGGTCTGTGTTGTAGGTTTAGATAATCATTAAATACAGGAGTTGGACGAGTACTATATGCAGCAATAGCCATAACTTTTGATTCCGTGACTGCAGACAGGAAGTCAACATCCGAGGATGGCGAGTCCTCAAAGGACAGAACAGATAGGGAGCGAAAGGAGATGCAGGAGTGCAAGAAAGACATCGGTAAGAGGGACAAGAAAAAGAGCAAGGATGAAAAGAAGGCTGCGCCAGCGGGTTTGGAGCGTGTCGTGAGCCCTTGCAAACAGAAGCAGAAGAATAAGAGCGACAAGTGTTCGACGTCCTCGTCCAAAGTGAAGTGCATCAGTACCGCGTTGAACTGTTTGGCCAACAGGGATTCGTTGATGATGCTGGACAGCAGATCCTTCAACAGTCTATCCGATAGGTCCTACTCCACCGTGATGTTCAGTCGGTCCCAAGACCACGACCTGCAGGAATCTTCTTCCAATCAGTGGAGGGACTTCTGGAACGGTTTCGATCCCGAGGCCGAGCTGCCTACGCCGGGTATCATAGAGAACCAAGAAGCACCCGAAGACAGCTCCTACAGCCGCAATTGGTTTCTATCCTGGTTCTAGAATCGATGTTACACCGAGAACGACGAAACCGTGGAAGGTAACTGAGGGATTTCGAGGTTTCTCATTTCGTCTCGTAGAATAATATCTGCTTGTAACTGGTCCGCAGGCTGCTGACAGGACGACGTGCGACGCGGTTCGACGTCTCGTGGGAAAACCTGTTGTACGACTCGCGGAGCGGTTACTTTTCGCTGATGGAAAATCAGCTGGCGTTCCTTGGGAACGGATTCGTGTCGGAACGCTGAAAACACTGTTTCGTTCGTCGGGACTCCGGGCTGTCAGTTTCTACGAATGTTAAAAACTCTCAATATAATGCAAAGTCTCGTAACCCCTTGAAGAGCCAGAGCAGTTTAAACAATTCACGGGGCTAACGTCGCTCGATGAACCGGGTCTCGCGAGCAGTTAGATGTCTTTGTACAATGAACGAGGCACGTCGGAGGCGCGCATGTGAATGGACGGGCAGCAGGAGGCGCAATTATGGGTTTATTCAGGTCTCGCCGCGGGATACACGGGGTGCCGTCACCATGGAATATTTCGTACTCGCGTATATACCTGGCGCCTCTTCTCCGGGGCCCTTTATGCTTCCTGCACACTGTGAACGCGCTGCCAAAAGAGAGAGAATGGGAGGACGGCCGGGGGAACAGAGGCGCAGAGGGAGGAAGGGAGAGAAAAGCACGAGGACGTCTCCGCGGGGATCCCCGCGTTCCGCCACTTATGGGAACGTGATACGGTGCTTTTCGTCGGATGCTCTCTTGCGTTTTCGCATTGTTGCGCAACCGCGTCGTCCTTCTTTTCCCCGCGTTCTCCTTTCGCCTTTTTTTCTCCGCTCGTGTCTCCTCGCTGCTTTACTCGACAAAGGGAATCGATGTCAATGGCGACGCTTTGTGCCCGTTCCGTGCCGGCTTCCGTCTCGTCCCGCGGGACCGAAGTGGAAGAAACGACGGTAACATTGACAAGAACTTCAACGTTCGGTATCGTCAGCTTTCGATCATCCCTTATCGTTCAATGTTTTTCGTGTCGTCGGGTGTCTGCTCTTTTCTGTTTGATGTATTTCGTGTAATTTTCAGCGGAATAGAACGCGCGGCATGTTCTTAACGCCGGCCTCGAGTTATTAGTCTGGATATTTTCGAGCCAGCCGACAGGGAGAAGATCGAACGGTCGATTTCACGGCTGCCCAAAAGGAGCGAGGAGGATCGCGGGCATCTAGACGTCACATTACGATGTCAACGACTTCTTCCTGGACCACAAACCGCTTCGACGCCGTGTCCGGGATGAATGGCGACGCCACGGGTGGCACCCCGTCGGAAACAACCCCACACCACCGCTGGAAATGTGTCAATTTCGTTCGAATGACAGCGTCACTCTCCTGACGCCATAGGTTTCTCTAAATCGTAGGTTACGTGTTCATTATCGCGTTCACCGCAGAGAGCAAAACATTTATAAATTTATAAACATTTATAACGTTTCGATCTTTATTTTGTACTATCCTCGTTAATGTAATAACTCGTGAAAGATTAAAGAATTGGTTTGCGTACAGTATAAGATCGAGAACGGAAGTCAGGAATGGAGCAGCGTTTGCTCGAGAAATATTTTCCGGGAATATCCGACGGGTCACGTCGACAGGATGAACGGTTATTATTTTTTTTTTTTTTTTAAACCAGTCAAGAGCACCCTTAGACCGCGGAAGTGGCGAAACAAGACCAGAAGGGTTTTCCACGTGTTCGGTCACACGTGGCGTCGCTCGGGAAACGTCCCACGTCAATCAGGAAAGATGAAGACGGCTTTGTGCGAAGCGAGCCACGTCCTGTGGAAGAGCGCGCTGAAAAATCTGGCGGACACGCATTATTTTAAGTAGCGTGGTCTTGTTTTTCTAGAAGTCCTTGGCGGTCTGAGAAAACAAAGTATTCTTTGTTCGTCTGGCCATACGATCCTTCTCAGACTTGACTGAAAAAATACGCGTCAAAAATCTTCGCAAAGTAACGAAACAAATTATCCCAGCGCCGTATTTCCAGTTTGTCCGTCTGTTTTCGTCTCTATGGACCTTGACCTGGTTTCCCTTTTTATATTCCGATACTCGCAATAGTTATATTGGACAGATTAGAATGATTGCTTCTACGCACGAAGATCCTTGCGACAAAGTTTGATTCTTAATCCAAATAGCTAGAAGCGATAGACGAGTCAAATACAAACTATATTTTCCGAGTTAAATCTTCGTGTCTATACTTAAAACTTGGCAAGAAAATAAAGTAACCAGAAGAAAGTGTTGGATTAATGATTAGTCCTATTAGTCCTAGATAAGGTGGATTTTTAAAAAAAATTGATCAGGGATTGAACAGGCGTAATTAGCGCATCGTCGCGAGATATTTGCGAAGGACAATCGAATATCTGGCCAATCGTAGAATTTAACGAGCAACTGGAAAGAAGCACGTCCGTCTCGGGATGGATTTGTCGGATTCGGTTGGGCATCTCTTGAACCGCGTTCGCAATAGAGAAAGAAGCTAGTACGAGTCGGGGGTGTAATGAGGCTTATTTATCGGCGCGCGAGGCTGGCCCAATAGGGAGACGGGATGGTGGTCGTGGCCATGCCCAACAGCCAATGGCGAGGGCCGTTAAACGGCTGTCAGACGGACCACGCCTCGGCCAATCGGCGCTCAGCTGCGCATGACAGAGTGGCTCGGTCTCCGAGCACGCCGGAGCGGCAGTCCCTTCTGGTGCGTGCGTAGGAGAACGTCTCTCTTTCGCCCGGTCACGAGAGAGAGGGGAACGGAAATCTGACGTTTCGGTTATCATTCTCCGAACAGTTGACGAGTCGACGTTGCCTCTCGCGTGTGGCCGTCCGGTGTACGATTGGATTCTCGTGCTTATCGTTCGACAGGAGAGTGCTTCGAGTGCGAGACGAGCAGTGCCTTCGGTCGTTCAAGTGCCAATCGTGTGCCATCGTGTGTCGCGTGCCCGTGGAGAGTCGACGACAGTTGGAAAAAGTTTTACGCTCGAGGGCTCGACAACCTCGGGAGCCGTGGGTGAAAGAGAGAGAGGGACAGAGAAAACGGACTATTTAACGCGGCTCCTAATAATAGCGCGTTCGTACGCGAGTATACTAAGCGCCTATAAATACACACCTACCACGGCCCGCGGAAACACGAGCCCGTGGATTTCACGGTGCAACCTGTCCACGAAGAGATAGAAAAGAAGGGAAAAGGGGGAGAATAATCTTGAAGGAGGGCGCACCTGGCGCTCTAAGAGAAACTTGCCATAATCGGATCTAGTCGGAGGCAGTAACGCAAGATAATCGTACGGGGCGAGGGACCGGGAAACGTAAGAGAGAGACTTTGCGCGGCGATCGGTCCATCGGGGCTGCTGGTGGTACCAGTCTGAAAGCAGATTAGAGAATAACCGCACCTGGAGCGCGATTTTATTGTTTCGCGGCCGCGTATACCTTTCTTTCCGTCTCGTAACACGAGAAACATCCCGGTGCCGGGTTCGTCGGCAGTCGAAGCTTGCAGCAACTCTCCGCCAGCGGTGGCCTAAAAATATCTCCTTCCTGCATATTCCGAGGCGTTTACGCCGTCTCGAAATCTCCGCACGTTGTTCTCTCGGGGCGGCTACTTTTCGCCTCCACCCCTCCCCTCTCTACGTGCTTTCTCCTCTTTCGAAGCACGAAGAATCGATCGGAAAATCGAGACGACTCTCGAGCGTCCATCGCCGTGAACTTGGGTGCTGAACTTTGACTCTCGACGCGACAGGAACCTCGCTGGAAAATGCCTCGCGGAAAATCGTGCGCGAAACGTGGATGAGTGCGAGAGGTAACGAGGATCAAGTAGAGTTCACACAATGGCCAGAGTTGGGCTTGTTCGTCGTAATGTTGTTCGCGAAGTCATCTGGGTGTTCGATGTGAAGCATAGATCGTAAGGTAAATGTCGCAGTTATCGATAGGGGTAGACAGTTTTGGGTATCGTTGAGGTGTATTGTAATGTCTGAGGTGGCTGTCGATAGTCGCTTCGAGTATTTCAAATTCATCGTCTTCGACTTGAATATGAGCAAAGCTGTTACCAGAACTGTATTCTCGAAATGAGTTCAAAGCGTCGATGATTTGGATAAGCGCGAAGTTAGCTGCGGATACGAGCCTGGTTACAATGTTCTTGGGGGAAAATGAGGGATCGAGAGTTGCTTAACCGTTCGTCTTCGTTCGAAATTGTTTCTATAGATGAGAATTTCGCCCACCTCTGGCTCGCGCGCAGCTAGATACCCGCCGTCGGAACGATTCTCGATAGGGCCAGGTCGCGTCCGTCGGACGAGCGATCGGTGCGCGGATTGTTCGAGGAGGATTCGATCGAAGGAAGAAGAACAGTGAGTGATAACGAAGTGCAAGGAAGAGACGAAGTGGTTCACGGTGGAGGGTGGAGGGAACGGTGTGCAAGGGGTCTCCGCCGTGGGCCCCGGAGATGACGCGATGATGGCCTACGGAGGAACCGCTGGGAACGGGGGCGCGATGGGACCTTCCTCTGGTGGTGCCGATGTTTTGGGCTCCACCGGGGATTACAGCCCGCAGGGGACACCGACGCCGCTCACGGGACACTCTGCGGGATCCGTCGAGACCAGCAGCTACGGTCCTGGGACAGGACCTGCCAGCTACAGTCCCCAGGATAGTCCCGCCAGTTCCGCTGGCGGCGGAAGCGGTAGCAATGGACAGCTTCCCAGTTTCGGGTTCACGCAGGACCAGGTCGCCTGCGTTTGCGAGGTAAGTTCACAAGCAACAGTCATTTTCATAAAAATCGTGTTTTGTGGTGAGATTTATCAGTGTCGGGAAAGTTCAGGAATTTCACGGAAAAATCATTCGCCCCTGTAGGAATTAAATTTACCTTCCACTTAACTTATTCACAATTTATTTATATATTTACATACATGAGAATATAATTTCAATTTACATCATAATAAACGATGTTAGCCGATAGGATGGCTTTTGAATTAATTACTTTTGTTTTAAACAACACGTCTAACACGAATAATATGTGCGTTTTAAATTTATGCGAAAGACGAAGACGTTTTATAGAATCTTTATTGTGCGATTGAAAATGGCGAACGATTTTTGACGTGAAAGGTTAGCTCGGGTCGAGTCGTGTCCTGGAAGCTTCTTGCTACGTGAAACTGCGTCCAGCAAGAGACTTCTCAGGATACCAAGCCCCCTGTTCTAATAAAATATCCCGCAGTACTCGACCCGAAATGTTTCTTACGGTCACTCTTACGCTCCCTAATTGCTATCGACTCGATTTTCGGCGCGCAGTGTTTGTTGGCACGATCCGACGGAAAAATTCTAAACGACGCTTCTTATAACATTCTTTATCCTATGTCTCTTTCTGTAACTCTTTCTATAACTTTCAAAACGATTGGAATAATTAAATGACCCTCAAAATCGTATCTGTATCGTCTAAATAACTTTCGAGATACGTGTCTCTTCGCAGACACGTTCGCGTCGGGAAAAATTAGGCGCGAAGCACCACTTAACCTCCTCGCTACCGCGACTGTTCGCGAGATACTCAACAGTATCCTCAGCATTAATTTATGCACCTTACTGACGAAATTGGCCCTGAAATTCCCAGCACCCTGGCGAGATATCTCGTGCACGACAATGTACACTGCACGCCAAGATTCGCTTACGTGTCGCACGACTAATGGAGTTCATGCGTTTTTACTGCGACCATAAATTGTTTTGTGCGCGACGTTTACGCTCCTCGCGTCGAACACACGGAATTCGCTTCTTGCCTCCCGAGAATATTATTACGGGGGCATATTCGTCATTCTCGAAAGCAGAGGCTTGGATCAACCCGAAGTGTGTCGATATATTTGTCTTGTTACTAGGGATGGCGTGAACAATCGCTACCAGTGATTTTTCACGGTGATCACACAATCGTGATCGCAGTTGTGATTAAACTTCGGTGTGATTAAACGGAAGATGGCGTTTTAGAAGCGGTTCGTGTTAATTGTTATATTGGCTTGTTCAGAAAGTTCGGGACAATTTTTAAGAAAAATTCAAAGGCATATTCGAATTTTACTATATATATTTATTGAATTACGTAAGTACCATTTTGTTCCATAACCTTTCCACCTTTTAAGGGATATATACGCGTTATTTGTTTTCGACCATTCCGATACGTTCAGACCTATACCACCTACCAAAAATCGGCATGGACTTTCCGGACAAACCAATGTATCGTTAGTGTCTCACTGTCTCCCCTTAGCGGAAATTCAAGAGACTACAAATGAGTGAAATTTGAATTGTATTAAAATTATATTAACATTGCTTTAAGACCATATTATAATACATATATAATCTATGAACAACATAATTCGTAAAGAGTGAAAATGTTCTCTACCAATCAGAAACGATCACGAAGAATCACGAAGAATCACGAAGAATCACGAATCACTGTGAAAAATCATCGTGATTGAGAATGAATAAGAATCACGAGCGATTCAAAAGTAGCAGTTCACGCCATCTCTACTTGTTACCACCTTCGAAACAATAGAATATTCGAAAAAGGAAACGAGATGTGTCGGCCAACTTCAGGGCGGTCGAAGCTAAGAAAGTTAAAAATGGCGGGAGGTGTCACGGTCCATGATGTCACGCGATCGTACATTTTTCCCAGCAATCGACGAAAGTTGAACGTGACTAACTAAATTTTTCGAATGTACAAATAATTGAGGTGGTGATGTTTCGGGGATGCAAGTAGCGAAAGGACACGCGAGGTGAGTGCACGTTTGCGCACGTTTCCCGTACGGCTAGACGTTTAACTCCTTGCCCACGTCACATGGATATTCTCCGTAATTTACGACAGCGTTTTGCGTTTTCGATAAACTACCGCTCCGTCGGCACGGAATGGAATCGTTTAACGGGTAATTACGCTCGGAACATAATAAGAAAGGGAGGCTTAGAAAGTGGTCTAAAGCGCGTTTACGATCTCGCCTCCCAATAATTCAAGCTATCGTTTAAATGCGTACTTACGCGGTTGACATTTAGGCCGAGCGGAGGGTGACGCAGATCTGGAGATGTTCAAAAACATTCTCTC